GGAATTGCAATGGACTTGCTGGAGGTTAAAAGGTTAAAACAGGCCCATTCCTTTTGGTGTTGCTGGAAACTGTCCCAATTATTTCAGTATAGATGTAACAATTTTGTCCTGGATCTTTTATTTTCTCAGGTTTTCAAGGGACAAGTTATTTTCATGGCAGGTGAACATTTCACCCAAGGCTGCCATTGCTAAAGTGAAGCTAAAGGTGGGAAGTTTAAAAAGGCAATTTTCTTTCCTGCTCCCAAGGCTTGCAGGAAGCAGCAAGGCAGCAAAGCAGCCTCCTAAGGCAGGAATCTGGGGGGTTCTTTTCCTTTATAGCCCCAGTTGATGGCAAGTGCTTGAACCCCATAATCCACCCCTCTCCAACCAGAGACAACCTGCCTGTACCTCAGGAAACATGTTTTTCCTAAGCTCAAGCCTGTACAATAAGTGCTACGATGTGAAAACCAATGATTTGAAGAAGACAACATTATTAAAGATAAAACACCTCCCATGAGAAGGGTTCAAAGCAGCAAGGATAAAGGCAGGTAAAACTCAGCATTATTCTACAAGGCTGTGGTAAGCACGGGGAGAAGGGAAGGGAGCTGCAGTCATGGTGGACCCATCCACTAGGAAAGCACAACTTTCCAATTGCACCTCAAACCTTCTGTTATTCAGCATCCATGAAAAAATGGAAGAAAAAAACAAAAAAGGACAGAAATTAAATTTAAAAGTGGTTGAACTGAAAATGGAGCCGTAGTTACGGTTTTTAAATCGGTGGGAGTGCTGAAATAGTGCAGTTCAAAACCATCATGCACGTTTGTGCTTACACAAAGGAAGGTTTCAACAAGCACTGCAGAGCAGAGAGGGAGGAGGAGAAGGGCTGATCGGCCGACAGCACAGCTGCCCCTGGGCTTCTTCTACACGTAAAGTCCAAGGATGTAAAGCAAGAGCTCTGTAAAATGCTGAAGATTTTAGAAGTGTAATGGCAGGTAGAAAAGTACACTGGTCTTGTGTCAGTGGCAGCCCCAGTGTTAGGAGACAGTCTAGGCTTCTAGGAGGAGAAAATAGAAGAGAGGAAAAGAAGTAGGAGAGGGAAAGGGGAGGGGGAGAGGGGCAAAAAAGCGCAAGTCATTAGTAAACATCAACAGTCAGGTAGCACTCTGCACAACAAGCAACAGTTCATCTAATGCAGCCAGGAGATTTGCCAAAAGCCAGATTAGAGAGATGTGGAGTTTTGCTTTTAGAAGTGTCTGGAAAGCCACGGGCTGTCACGCCATGGCTCGACATGGTGCCACATGCAGAAATTCACTGGGGTACACCAGGATCAGTGACAAATTGCCATGGGGAGACCAGCAGCCTGGGATGCTGCTTAAAAGCCCAGTTTGCACTGAGAACAGTGACAAAGTGTTTTTGTGACCCAGTCTCAGATGGCAGAACAACAAACAGGCTGGCTGGAGAGAAAGTCCAGCTAGGGAAAGTATGGACATGGGAGAGCAATACTTCCCTAGGTTACTTCTCATCTGCCAGCAAGTTAATGAACAGGATCTTGGAACACAAAGTACCCAGATTAAACCCTGATCACTCTTGATGGATTTCTTTCTAGAAATTTGTCTTTTTTAAAATATAAAATTCCTTTGAATTCAAGGCAAATATCCTGCAATAAGGAGTTGCAAACATTGCACCGTTTGAAAATCACGCGGGTTTTTTTGCTTTGCTTTAAACCTGCTGTTAGGAGCTCTGCCAAGCACCCCGAGCCCTGGCGTGGTGGCAGTCAGCAGTGAGCTCCTAACTCAATACCTGCCCTGAGTGCTGAGAAGCCCCTCCCCATCTCCCCTCACCCTGGCTGGCTCCCTTGAGCTGCCCCAGATGTGCAGTTTCCCCCCTGCGCTGCACCAACCGCTCCTCTCTCAGCCTTATAAGGAAGAACTGAATCCAGAGAGAGTTTCAGTTTCTGTGCTGAGCACCCAGGCCAGAGCTCTCAAATTCTCAAAAAAAAAACCAAAAACCAAACCCAAAAAACCACCCAAACCCTCACAAGGCAAATAAGCAGTCGCCCCGTGGCTGAGGACTGCCAAGAACTGAACCCTGGGAGGAACTGCCAGTCTTTCCCTTTCCAGGGAAGGCAAAGGGGCTGGACCCAAGTAAACAGCCAGTGTCAAGTGACCTGCTCACATCTTTGCATTACATTCTGACATGGTGAGCTGCAGACCTCCCTGCATTGGTGGTTTAAATACATCACTGTTGTTAATACTTATAATAACCATAAGACAACAGTTAAAATAGGGTTTTGCCCCCAACCTGCGTTAGCTTTGGGTTTATGCCCCAGGAGCAGCACTCGGGACGGGGCAGGAGGCAGCACAGGCTGCCAGAGCAGCACCAAGGTTCCAGTCCTGACTCATTCTAAGCTCTGCATACACAGACACCAGATGTCTGCAGATAACGTTGCATGCAGTAAGACATTAGCAAGTCATCACCCTCTTTTACTTAACAGGAGAAGGAACCCTGTGCAGTGATGCTTCCTGTGAGCCCAACCTGAGAGAGAAGCAGACACTGGGATTTTCTAACAGATTAACAACATCTTCCCCCAGTATTTTCCCTGAAGTCTGTTTCAGAATCCATCCCAAACACAGCTCTGCTTTTAAATGCTCTCTCTCTAACTCTTAGCACTGCTTGTTGTAGCAAAAAGCTAGTTTCCTCAAGCATCACTGTCCTTGGTCCTTGCTCAGCCACTCCCTTTTCCCACCTCTGCACTGGGCCCACACTGCACAGCCAGAAGAACTATTTCAGCTTCAAAAGGAAATGGATTAGGGAATAGATCCAGCTGAAAACAAAGAAGCCAGCCAAAAACTGAAGCTGGTTTAGGGCCGGAGACGAAAGGCTTTATGCAGCACCACCTATACAGAGTAGAACCAGACACTACTGAAGTCCAACACCTGGGCTGGAACAACTTGCCTGTAATTCAGCTGAGCATCAAGTCTGAAAAGCCCTCCATTATCTGATGGAAAAAAATCAGCATTTCTCCCTTCCTCTCCAATGCCTAAGCATGGGAATTTCAAGTATTCCACAGAGAAGGGGGCAGGGGAGAAGAGCCTATGAAGAAGCTGTGTTGTGTTACTCTGCAGCACCCAATTAACTTGATGCCTGTGACTCCCCATCCCTTGCCCTGCTGCTTCCAGCACTTTGATGTCACTTTCAGGCTGTCTGTCACAGGAAAAAAAATATCCAACTCTACCCCACAAAGATGAAACACATTAATAAATTAAAAAGCTTCAGATACATAAAAGTATCTTTGATCAAAGATGTGAGCATTTAGTGTGTGAAGAGTTAAGCCTCCAGAAAGCTCATAGTAAGTAAATCATAACATTTTTAAACACAATTCAGAAGTTCAATTAAAAAGATCCATACCTGGAGTATCATACATCTGATTTTATTTCTATCTCCTTGTAGTTATGTGTATTTAAAAAACAGAGGAAGGTTCAGAAGTGTTGTTACTTTCAGTTTTACACTAAATAATCAAAGATGCCCAGCTTCCTTTTGATGAGATTTACAATGGCAAAGTATAAAGGTCAGTTTTTATATTTGCATCCTTGATAAGAACATGAAAGTTGCTCACACTGCAAGCAGAACTAGAGCATCCCTGTCTCCTACTCCCAAAACTCACCATTCTCTCTTGGATTTCTTTTTTTTCCTTGGGGCTGCACCTATGGACTAGCAGGGATGCTAATGCTGGAGCTGCACATCATGGACAGGGAGACCAAATAAATAGCTCCAGGGCCAGGATGAAAACAGACTTTTGAGTCTCTTATCCTGAAGAAAAGGGAGGTGCTGCAGGGTGGCCTGTCAAGAGTCCTCACCCTCAGCACAGAAAGAAAAGCCCCTGGCTCAAGCAGGCAGCTGCAGGTTGGTACTGCTCATCCTGAAGGGTTCAGCTGGAATTTGGTAGGAAAACCAATTCACAGTGAGAAAGACTCATACAAGGGAAGCTTCTCATGAAATGTGCCTGCTGAAAGAACACAAACCTCAACAGATGTTGGGCTGTTTGGAAAGATCAGTAATTTCCCAGATTCCTCACAAACGTGAAATGTTGGTCCACTTGAGTCATGACAAGCTTCTCACAGGCAAAGTTATCCCCATGCTACTTGAAAAAGAGCCTTGGAGACCTCAGTTTCAGCTCTGACAGGGCTAAAGTAAATATGAGGTGTTTACAAAGGGGTGGTCTGAGGTGAAAGGAGAAGCTGCAGAATAAACACCAGTGCAATTTCTGCAGCAGCTAAGAAGCAGTGAATGAAAAACCTGCATCAAAGGCTGGTGAAACTCAGGAGAAACTTGACAGTCAGCCTGGTGAGGAACAGGAGAAGCCACACCCATGGGTCAGGGCAGAGTTCAGCTAGGAATGCTGTGGAGTCCCTGCAAAGCCACTGAGCTATCCGTGCCCATGATGTTGCCCTCCCAGCAGTGACCATCACACAACGTCCCTGGAAGGAGGCTTTACACAAATAATCAATTTCAAACCCAAAAGAGAAGGAAGTTCTGTTTTGTCTCAAATGCTTTGAAAAGATAATTAAAAAAAACAAACCCAAACCAAAAGAAACCAACCCCCTGTGAAGAAATAAGACTCAAAAAGAAGGTGCAGTTGGTCACAATCAAGTTTTACTGCTCCAAACACAAATGAAGTTGAGGTGTTTCCTTCAGGCATTAGGCACGTACCTGGGTGATGATCTTCTATCCCATGGTCACCATTTTCTACAACTGTTGGCCCAGAAGCTGAAGTATCTGCAAGAAATCAAAGGGAATGTAAATAGTGGATCAAGTTCATCTCAATCTGCAACATAGAAACAACACTGTGAGAACAACACTGGAGTGTTATCAAACAGATAAGGGGGTTATTTTTTAAAAAACAATAATTTTTGAAAGATTAAAGCACCCCCCATGGCACCGAGTCAGGGCAACATGAAACCCAAAAGGAAAAAACTTTTCAAACACAATCTAGTCCCATGAAGGAAGCTCAAGGCATAACAACTAGAAGCTTCTTTACCTATTCACACCATCACTTCCACTTGAGCTTTCCCAAGGGGCAGCACCAAACCCCTGTGACTCTGGACGTCCTTCAAGCACACAGTGCTTAGCCAAGCTGATAAACTTCCACAGGCTTGGTGGATCATGCTGCTGACCTTGACTTTGATAAGCCTTTTAGCACCATTTCCCGTAACACCCTCACAGACAAACAAAGCATGGGTCAGACAACTGCACACTGAGCTGGATGGAGGCCCAAAGGGTGGTGATCAGTGGCACAAAGTCCAACTGGAGGCCAGTTGATGCTGGGGCCAATACTGTTTAACATCTTCACTGACAGGCTGAGAGAGTTGGGGTGTTCAGCCTGGAGAAGAGAAGGCTCCAGGGAGACTTTGGAGCACCTTCCAGTGCCTGAAGGGGCTCCAGAAAAGCTGGGGAGGGGCTTGGGACAAGGGCAGGGAGAGATAGGAGCAGAGGGAAGGGCTTCCAGGTGGCAGAGGGAGCTGGAGATGAGATGTGAGGGAGAAATTCTGGGCTGTGAGGGTGGGGAGAGCCTGGCCCAGGTTGCCCAGGGAAGCTGTGGCTGCCCCATCCCTGGCAGTGTTGAAGGGCAGGTTGGATGGGGCTTGGAGCAGCCTGGGCTGGTGGGAGGTGTCCCTGCCCATGCAGGGGGGTAGGAACTAGATGGTCTTCAAGGTCCCTTCCAGTCCAAACCATTCTATGACTCTATGATTGATGACCCAAACAGTGGAGCAGAGCGCACACCCAACAAGTCTGAAGGTGATACTGGGAAGAGTGCCTGCCATGCCAGGGGCTTGTGATGCCATCCAGAGGGACCAGGACAGGCTGGAGAGCTTGGCAGAGAAGGATCTCATGAAGTCCAACAAAGGAGAATTGTAAAATCTTGCACCAAGGGAGGAATAAGCCTGAGCTTATTCCTGAGGGTCAACTTGCTGGAAGACAGGTCCTGCAGAAGAAGCCCTCGGGGTCCTAGCAGCCACCAAGCTGAACATGAACCAGCAACATGCCCTTGCAGCAAACATCAACAGCATCCTGAGCTGCAAGAGGTAGAGCACACCCTGTAGGCTGAGGGGGGTGACCCTCTCCAGCACTGCTGACACACACCTGGAGTGTTGGGTCCCACACCAAGCTCACCAGCACAAGAGAGATGGAGCTACTAGAGAGAGGTCACTGAAGGGTCACTAAGATGACTAAGACACTGGAGCATCTCTCATATGAGGAAAGGTTGAGAGAGCTGGGACAGCTCACCATGAAGAAGAGAAGATGAGAACAAGCACCCACAAGGAAGCTCTTGTCAGTGGAGCTCAGTGTCAGAAGAAGGGTCCACTGGAACAAACTAACTGCCAGAATTTAAAGATATTGGTCCACTTCAGCTGCGCAGACAAAGTAGGGGAAAAAAAAGGACCAGAACATTGCTCCAGCAGGTACCAGGAGGGGTTTAGAGAAGGTCAGTTCAGCGTGGAAGACAACAGACTCCAAAAACCAGCATGTAAGACACTTAACCATCAAGAGATTGAGTCTGTCTTGTCCTGACATTGACAAGATTAAATCTGAAGAGGCACCAGGATATACCTACAGAACTTGGAGAACGTGGCAGCAACACAAGACCTGGTGGTAAGCTCAGGCAACCAAAGAGCTGAGCCTAAATGTGACTTTGCTGCCAGCTCAGTGGGCTGCCCTGGGAAAGCCCCTTTGCTCCCAGCCAGCTAACTCCAGGAGTGGGAATTTTGGAATTTTCTAAAAATGCTGCTTGGAAACACCATCTTCGGGAATAATTAATACATTTAATTAACAACTAAAAAAAAACCAAACACCCACCAAAAAAAACAAGCAAAAAAGCCCCCTTGCTAATGAAATGTTGTAGTTACCTTAGTCTCTGTGCTGCTGAGGGTCAGTCTCTATCATCACTCTCACAACCTGCCTGAGGAATTTTATCTATTTTAATTTACTGCCCTTGAGATCAGCCTATAGTCCCTACAGAAGCAGCTGGGCTGTGCTGACACCCACCCTGGGGCAGGCTGCCAGCAGCACAGGGCTTCTGTAGGAGACCATCACCAGGAGAGGTGAACACTACAAGCCCATTTACGTAAACTAAAAATATCCTGGCACCAACTCTCAAAATATTTTCTAATACCTTCTTAAATAAACTCTGCTTAATTTCTAAGCATTTGTCCCATTTTCCAGTTGCGAAGTAGTGAAGTCACTGCAGGAATGATACCAAGCTGTATTAGCTAAACCTAACAAGTAGAACCAACTCCAAGAGCAGGTTAGCTCCTCTGGCCCTTAGTTCAGAAGAAATACTCAGGGCAATGGCTTAAAAACCCCATCAATAAATACCTAAAATAAAAAATAAAAATGAAAACACTCCCCAAAGAGACACATATTCAGCTATCTGGAGTTGCTGTTCTCCCTTTCTGAACTCAAGCAGTTTAAAATACAGCTACGTTACCACTGCACTTCAGACAGCACTTCAGGGCTTAACCCAGCCCCCAGTGAAGCAAAAGGAAAATCCTCAGTGGCTCACCCTGGTGTTTTACAAAAATTCAGCATCAACTTGCCAGACAGCTTCTACAGAAACATACACCTACTGCCTCTTCAAGTAGCTGAAAATACCAGAGGAAGCCATGGACCTGTTTCTGAGCAGTTACACACACCATCTCCTCCTGCTGTCAGTCTTTACGAGGTCTGGGATTGACTGTAACAGTTGAATGGACTTAACTAGTAGATGGGGAACTAGTGCCAGTCCCTGATTTACTGATCAGGGCAAGAGGAAACCAGGGGCATGGGATGGTTTACACCACCCTGCTTCACAGCTGTCAGAAGATACCCTGGGTATCTTGGGGAGAACGAGGGTCTCACCATGAGATCCCCGAGGAATGAGGCAGCAGAGAGAGGCTGCAGCTACTGCTGACCCTGCCAGGTAAAGGGAGGGAGCTCAGCCCCAGTGAAAGAGCTCCACGTTTTCCCAAGGTCTGCTCCAGTGGGTGTCCCAGCAACAACTGCCAACATTGCCACTGCAAGAGAAGCTCTGCAAGTCCTCACCAATGCTGCCACAACCCACAAACCCATTCCCATTTCCTCAGTACTTTGTGACTGCAAACCTCAGCACAAGTTGTGTTTTAAACAGGGCAAAATGATCCCCTGTTGCCTTCAGCTTCATTCAAACCTGATCATTACACCTTGCACAGACAATGCAGCTCTTGAAAAGTGTCATGGTCTGGTCTTGATGCCACCACTATTATTCATGCACTGAAAACAAGAGTCAACCACAAATTTGGCAAAACACTACAAAACTGGGGCTGCAAATCTGTGTGCATGTTTTGAGCACTGGCTTCAGCTTGCAAAAAAAACATCCATCTGTGAGGCTGGTCTGGTGGCACCTGGAGTGAGCAGCTTGTGTGCACCCAAGGTCAGGTCTGCACTGCAGATCACCCTCCCAGTGCTTCTGGCAATTCAGTCATTTCAGCTATTCAGAAAATAAACACTCCATCTGCACTAAAGTTTCATTTACAGCCTGGTCTCCTAGGCAGCAAGTGAGCCAAGCCAACTGCCTTCTATCAAAAAGAAAGGCCAGGACATTCCACCTTCCCTTACCCAGGGCCCTGCAAACTGAAACCAAAACAAAACCCTACCAAAACACCAGCCAAGCCTACAAACTGTTGGGGTAGATGGGAAGGACAGTTGAGAGCTGGGCTTCTGGCTTCACCTTCCTCAGAGCTAACAGGGCCCTGAAGCCTGCCCAGCCTCCAGCCCACAAAGCAGACACATTCCTTCAAGGAGCCTTCACCTTATTCAGCCCCCAATGCTCATTCGTCTGATAAAAAAAGAATGGTAAGATTGATGGGTTTAAAATGCTACGTTTGCTCCTAAAGCACAGGAATTAGGGCAACAGAAGAGGCTGAAGCCAGCCTGGATCTCCTCTCCCTCCCAACATGCTGAGTAGCACCCCCAGGTGCTGCTCTCCCCCCCCTCCTCTGCCAGCTCCACAGAGCTCCTCTGCCACCAAAGCCACCAGGGGGGAAGGGACCTAAAATACCTCTTAGCAGAAGGGCAGAGGAACATTGCAAGCTGGTCTCGGATAGAAACAGCTTTTACCTTTCTGAAAAAAGCTCTGCAAACAGGTGGGGAGAAGCAGGACATTGTGGCCCAGGCCTCGTATGCTCAGCCAAGCCAGGGGCCCTCCAGTTCAAACACTGCCAGGCTGAAGGCTCCCAAAGGAGCACAAGAACCCAAAATGCCATTTCTTCCCTTCTGCACTTCTTGAGAAGCATGAAAAGCAGGTACATCATTTCCTTTAGAGTTTTAGCTTTTTTGGAAGATAAATTCCCAGAAAATCAGATCAAATCAAAGTACTTCACCCCAGTATGAGCAGCTTTTCGTCTTTGTGCCTCTGAAGCTCAGCTCAGCTCCTTTGGAGCAAATCAAGCTCATTTTAGGGAGCCAGAGTGGAAGTGGAGAAGGGCCCAGCAGCCTTCCCAGGGCCAGGTCTCCTCCCTCATATCCTGAATTGCATAAAAACAAAAACATGTCAAGATGTTGTAACTACATAATCCCCATTGGAATCACAAGATAGTATTTGCATCTGGCTAGTGGATCAAAGGATTGTTTTTATATAAACAAATTTAAGGCAGCGTTCGCTAAACCGATAATCTCAAGCAAATGGCCAGAGCCAATCTCCAGGACTCTAATCTCCAGCAGGGACCTGGCCTGGGGCATGGAAGCACAACCACAACTCAGCA